GATACTGCCTACTATGGCCTACTACTACTATCTACCATCACTATTATAACGTTGCTATAATTGTAACAACTACGACAAAACACTACCGCAACCGTAACATTACAACAACCGTAACGTCTCAACTCGGTTTATCTGCTTCATATGTAATAAATGACTCGCAAATTATTGTATAATGTAGGACGGGTTTGTACCTAAATGATTATATTCAATGGAAGTTCTATTGTTCGATCCTGACCGCCCGACATGAAGCACATCAGCAAGTTGTGATAGGCGACTCTATAAATGAGCCAAACATCCCTAATTGGTGTTTTAATTAATCGCTCTTGCAAATATTAATATCGGTTCCGTATGATAAGACCGTTTGATATCTACCAATCATAGACAACCAAATTATCGCTGCTAAACCCAGATTGGATCAGCATAAAAATTACGAGTCATTTGTGCTTGAGTTTATGTTTATTTTCCGGATCAGCCATTAATGTTGATCAACATCTGCGCGACCGTCGCGATTGGTAACTGCTTAAACACAACAGTCTTCATTTTGTGCAACGCGTTCTCTCTTCCTCTCTTACCAACATCGCATCAATTATACGCGTGACACTTATACATAGGTGCCAAGTCTCACTGTAAATATGGACACACACAAGTTTCCACTTTTTAGTGAAAAAATATTACTCTTAAAATATCTCACGCTCATTCGCAACGACTGTTAACCGCTGTTAACGACTACTAACAACTCTCAACAAAATATCAGACGACGTATATCATACTATAATTATCAATTATATATTATATTGTATTCTTATATTATATCTTTATAATGTCACTTACCCTTCTCTCGCCGAATATGACCGCAAACGGCATTCCAGATTCGCCGACTATTCGCATTACCCGCAACACATATTCATTTTCAGATCCAGACTCGGATTCAGACGATGATATATTTCAGGATGCACTCGAATATCAGCCGCCAAACACCACAAGTAATCTATTCAACTTGTGGGATGATACTGCTCTCAGTGATACCTCTTCCGTGCAATTAGAAACGACGACAGATGACGATATATCCACACAAGGAGATGATACCACTGAACTTCCATCTCTGTTTTATTCTCAGCGAGGCTCGATCACATCGCATTCATCATCTCACACTTTGACGAGCTTTCCCGCTACAAGGAGACAAACGAAACTATTGTACACTAAAGCATCCCAATCCATACCAGTCATACCCACCAGAGGCACTATAAAGAAGCTATCGAAGAAAACAATGTCTATGCCTATCACGTTAGTAGAAGAGGGTGATATTGACCTAGACGAAGATTTGCGAGAAGTACATTCTGCATTACAACTCTTTTTAAACTCAAGAATGAATGATGCAGAAGATTTGCTTTTTATTAAAAGCAAGACTTCTCTATATCATTCTCTAGGATATTCATTTGTTTGCTATCTGAAGTCATTAATGACATTTGAGCCTCAGGATATTAAAAAAGCCATCAGCGCACTGAAAGTAACCGTATACATTGCTTCCGTATTGAGAAAGAAGGAAGGCCTATTCGGATCACTATCCTCCATCATCCGAACTGCAGCTGGAATATCTGCATTGAAATCAATGTCAAGGTTACAAAGACACGCTGAATTAGTCTACGCTGAGGCGTACTTGCTCAAAGCCGTACTCAGCATATTTTATGACAACTCGCTCGTCTCTTTCATAAGAGAAGGAATTAATATTAGGAATAGCTACCTCATATACAGGAACTTGTCAAAGTTCATGGAGCACATACGCGAAGAAGAGGAAATTTCGAACTTCGAAGTGGATAGTCACTTTAGTTCAGGTGTATCGCTTGGAATCGGCTTATTTAACCTGATGTTATCTCTTCTCCCACCGGGAGTTCTCAAATTCGTACAATTTGTTGGATTCTCCGGTGATAGAGAGCATGCATTGAAAATACTGGAATCATGCGGAGGATGGACAAGTGATCCATCTCAAAAAGTACCTGATATCACCATTGAGGAAGAAGGGATAAGAAGGCCGTTCTGTGATCTGGTTTTGTTGACTTATCATCTGATCATTAGCAATCTTGTTCCTGTTGCTGATGCGAACAAAGCACTTGCTGCTAAAGTTTTGGATTATAATCTGCAACGGTATCCCAATGGAGTATTGTTTTTGTACTTCTCTGGGAGACTTAATCAATCAGAATCCTACATTCACGAAGCAATAGAACAGTATAAAACGGCAATATCGATTCAGAAGCAATGGAAGCAATTGCACCACATCTGCTACTGGGAGATGGCATTGAATTATCAGTGTCTAATGGATTTCGAAAATGCGTACGAATGTTTTAAGACTCTTTGCAAGGAGTCAATGTGGAGTAAATGTATATATCTGTATCATCAGGCTATATGCTTGTATACTTTAGGGAAGCAAGAGGATATGGATAGAATCATCAAAATGCTGAAGAAGGTACCAAAATTGATTCAGCGTATTGCAGGAAAGTCAATTCCTTTAGAGGTAAGAGAATGAATATCTATTATTCAGTTCATAAGCATCGTCGATTTGTCTGATACTTCTACATTAGCTTTTTTTATCTCAACCTTTATCTCGCCTTATCTCTCATATTTGTCAATTTACCTTATCTTGTTCAAACATTACAGAAATTCGTTGCCCGCAAAGCCCGCAAGTTTATATCTCAAGGTTATCGCTTACTACTTCCTGCATATGAACTAACTTATATCTGGAACTCCTACGACGTAATGCCCTTGGTTCCTCTCCTCCGCTCTTTATCTACTATTGAATTAACCATTGACAATCTAGACTCCGTCAAAGACAACCAATTCTACGTAAATTATTGGGATGATGTTTGTTTAGCCTATCTCCTTCGCGGAGTTCTTCTTTCCAAGATAGCCTTCCCCAACAATCCCGAAGATGAAAAAGCGTGCAAAAGCAACAAAGATAATTCAACGTCAACCTGTGCCACTGCTATTGCGTCATTTCAATATGCAATTAGGAAGGGAGCTTGTATCAAGTTGGATCATTATATCGTTCACTTTGCCCGATTCGAATTGGGAAGGTTATATACAAATATGAAAGAATTCGGAAAGGCTAAGTCAGAGTTTCAGAGGGTACTTGATGGTGGGGATGGGACTGAAAAGAAGAACGGGAAGTACTCGTTGGAAAGCATGCTATTGCTGAGGACTTATAATGCAATGGTGAAGTTGGAGGGATTGGAACGAGATTTGGAGTGGGAGAAGGAGCACGAAAATAGGAATGGGAATGAGAATGGAGATTTAAGCGAAAACGGCATACACGAAAGATTATCTTCCGCTTAAAGTCTTTTAAAGGTGTTAATTGGTATACTAATCTGTCTGGTTAACAGTGTTCTTTTTATCCTAGTCGGATAGAATCAATGAGAAAGATCGTTGAACGACGCTGGTATCGTCTCATTGACCAAATGCTCCCCCTTTTTTCATACATCTATCATAGCACAATGTACAGTAGAGCATTCATAGCTGCATTAATTAATTGCTTGTCATTAGTTCTTCTTGTAAACATTTTCTTTTTCTTGGTTATATGTGCAGTAATAGTTTATTAATTGGAATATAATGGTGAATAAATATTCATTCCATCAAACTGGATAATCATTTGGTTTTTAGTACACAATAACATTACTATTTTTTGGAGAACGGCTTCCGGTGGAACTATTTGAAGTTTACTACCGTCAGACAGTGTCTTTCAGGTAATCAACAGACCTGGACAAAACTATGAAATTTCGCTGATCAACCGCAACCCTGAGTAATTAGATCAACAATCGGTCATGCAAACACTTGTGACTTATTATCTAATACGTCCCTCAATGGGATTAGAACAGGCTCTGAGGAGGCCTTCCATGCGGTATTCAATCTTAATATGGTCAAAGTCTGTTTGCAGAAAGATTAATGTAATCTCTACAGTTGACATTTGTGCCTACAAACTTCTAGAGTTGGCCTTTCCTTCTAATAGAACTAATCCATTAAATAAGCGAAAGTATGATTCATGATTTTTTCCCATTCATCCTTCCAGTTGTTTCTCTGTTTGCCCAAGTCAATTTTTTTTCATACTAATACGCGTACGGTTTTCTGCCACCCACAGACCAGATTATGAGGTTCTCTTTGAAGAGTTTTTCCAGAAACAATTTGTAAACTATTTTTAATCTTTTGGTATAAATTAAAATTTAAATTAAGTAAGAATTTTACCTGTAAGAACAGCTTTTCAATCCTTAACAATCTTAATAATGCACGTTTATTCCGTTCTGAAAACGTTTGTGCAATCTTCCTTGAACTTGCACTCGTCTTTCAAGTACCAATAACCTGTCCACGTTGAAAACAGCTTAATTCTTTTCTTTGGAAGCTATATTGAGTTTAATAGCTGTTTTATCAAAGAATACAAATTTCAGTGTCGGATAGCACATAATAAGCAAAGTTGTAAGCAACAACAAGACGCGTCTCATCGTAAAGACATTTAAGTATTTAGCGGTATCTAATTACAGGCATCTAAACTTAAAAAAAAACTGCATTTTAAGTAATTACTCGACGAAATCCTGAACCAAACAATCTGTTAAAGTCTTGACCCAAGATATAATTAAAATTAATTCCTTTGAGTGATATTAGAACGAAAGTTTTTCGACAAATGTTTCGAAACCTTTATCTTCAACTTGAACGGTGCTTGTCGCTCAATATTGTTACAACATCGATGAAACTTGTAAATAATGTCCAGTTGCATTAATAACATTCGATTTTACGTATGAGCAGCTATGAGCAGTCGGATTTGTTCAAGTACTGTATGTTTTATCATTAGAACATCAAATAGGGAGTGTTTTTTAATTACTAGAAGCTGAATACGATGTTTTCTAGCAATTCTTTGCGCGCGTTACTCCCTCACACCGATATTTAATATTAGTATCACCTGCGATTTAGCGATAGTAAATCATTATAGTGTGCAAATCTTTCTTCACCGGGTCAGCGTTATGGCCTCCACGTCTCCACTAACTTCCCCGAAAAAAAGAAAACTATCAAATTCTTCTCCTGGCGAGGGTTGGCAAAACGTTGTGTTTTGAAATCTCGTTTGTTAATAAATACTGAATAGAATATGTCTTCATTGTAGAGACCCGGCGGGTTATAACAGAAATCAACACCAGCAAAAAGGTTAGTTTGAACCAATACTCTGTATACAACAAATAATTCATCGGCAATTACAGACGGACATGCTCGGCTTGCTTGAAGGTAAAACCTGATTCGGCGTCGCCGGGAAGTGTACCTCACAACGCCGTTCCTCCTGATTTACTATTACGGTTAACCAAGAAAGAAGAAGAAGTTCAAACACTGCTGGTGAGCTACTTTTTGCGTGAGTTATTTTGACGCGGACTTGACTCTTATTCTTCTAACTTTATCGTGCTGCCCGTTTATCAGACCGAACTTCAATCGTTGTCCCAAGTATTAACACCGGACTTTTCATATGATCCGTCTCTTCGCAAAAAATTTCTTGATCCTGCAATTAATGCCTTGTTTCGAACGATGAAAAAAGATATTGAAGAGAAAAACAAAATTATCGAGGAATTACAGCGAGAACTTGAAGGAATAAACTTTACATCAAATAGGTAAGTCATGGAATTGAATTAACTAAGCCTGGCATTTAAATAACCTGTATTGGTTCATATTTAAGCATAACGGGTAAGAAGTTGGTATCCAAGCTAAAAGCTTTACAGTCAGAAAATGAAGAATTGGGGCGGCAGTTGCGTCAGGGAAGAGTTGAACAATATGAAGTCGAGATATCCTTACAGAGGAAGATGATCAATGAATTAAAAGCAAGTCTTGAAGGTGAGTTCACGTTGAATTAGTTGTCTTCCGTATGTTGTGTATTTCAATATTGCAATAGGTCCCGAATAACCTATATACTTTAATAGAGTCCGAAGAGCAGAACCATTCCCTAGATAGTGAAATTGAAAAGCTTCAGGATATTGTGTTACAGCAAGCAGCAAAGTTAAAACGTTATGAAGAGAAGTCCAACCGGGTGTTGGAAGATGGTAACCAATAAGTGCTTTCTACATTAATAATGTGCCTACGGGAGTATATTGTGCTCTGCCACATAGACTAATTAGTACGAGAATTGGGACAGACATTTTACTTTCTTTCTATCTAAAGGAAACATGCACTGTTCGTTTATTCTTCCCATTTCTTATGTTGGAATTCTTTATAGTCCATGAAACGGATGCAAACTTGATAATCAGAACGCGCCTCTCATAGACATTTCAGACGTTTTTATAGCTACTGAGATGTCAGATAACTATATTAACAATTTCGACGTAAATTTATAAGTATGAGTGGGGCGTTCAAAACGTTTTGACACAAATTTTCATGTACATAATAAATATCAATTAACTCTGCCATTCCTTCATTTAATCTCCATCATCTCAGCTTTTCACGTCAATCTGAAAGGATACTTTGATGAGATTTTTGAGGAATAAGGAAGCTACACGGAGCCAGATCAGGGCTATGAGTGTGGAGAAGCAATATGGCTCGTTCTTCTCGAGTATGCTTTTTTTTTGGCTTGTCACGCAGCATTAGTAAACACGTCAGAAACCCTTTCAATATTTTCCAATTGAGATAGGAATAAATTTGCTGAATACGTTCAATGATATTATTACTATGGGGATCATTACTTATAAGATCTTCAATGATAGTAATGATCGAAGGTGTAAGTAATAGGAGGCAAAAGAAGTCGTGTCAGCTCAGCTATTTTCAGCAATGGTTTTATACATTCAGCTGCGTAATTCATAAATTTATGGTAAATTTACAAGGCGACTATTACTATTTCACACACAATAGTTCACATGGCCACTTATAATATTTGTAGTAGTTGTTAGACGGTTTTTATTCATTCATATAAATTGTTGATAAAAACGGGTTAATGAGAGCATACCGTTAGATTTAGACAATACACTGGAAAAGGTTGTTAATAGCAATGGTCTCTTTCTCATGTTGCGTATTATTATTATGAAGGGAAACAACATTAAAAGGCTGATTGCTTCTATTCGTATTACACATGTCGAGGCATAGTCATGGGAGAGCGGATAACTACTGTCTCGGTTTGGGATCTAGCTGCGCCGTCGTAGGAGTGTGGCTCACCTCA